ACATCAACCAGGCATGAAGATGGATGGCTGCGCCTCCCCGCCCCTCCCACCCCTGCCAGCACCCCTGGCCTGAGCCCCCGCTGCGCTCCCCCTCCCGCCCCCCTAGGGGCCTGGGCCGGGGCGGGGGTCATCGGCTGGGAGCAGCGGCAGGGGCGGCTGGCGGGGTGCTGGCTGGTGCAACTGAGGCCCGGGCTCTGGTCCGGGTGGGAGGTCCCTCGGCTTTCTGGGTGAGGGGGCTTAGGCGGCGGGGCGGGGCCTTTGCTGTTGGGCGGAGCCTGTCTGGACGGGCCGGGCCGGGCCGGGACGCTGGGCGCTGTGGTTTCGGTTTCATCGTCCACTTACAAGGTGATGGAGGAGTCAAGGCGACGCCGTCTGGGGCAGTGCTGGTGGATTTGGAATCAGGCATAGGAAGGGGCACTGGTCTGGCCACTGGAGGCGGCGGCGGTAGCAAAAATGACCCCGGGACTTTGCCCGCCCCCGGGGGGCGCTGCGGGCGGGCGCCGCCGGCCGGCGCGGGGTGGCTGAGGGTGCAAGGCCTCGATTTGGTCTCTCGGGTGTTTCTCTTTTTTTTTTTTTGGTTTTTGGTTTTGGTCCTCTTTGAAAGCTGTGGGAGGGAGAGAGGGGGGTGTCCGACGGGGGAGGTGGGTGATTTCTGGGGGAAATGTGTGAGTACAAAGACGTGCCACCTATCCACAGGCGCGGCTGCACCTGGAACTCCCGCACTCCGGAAGGCCTTCTCCTAGGGCAAGAAAGATGAGATGAGCCAGCTGCCCCCTGCTGTCTCCCTTTGGTCCTCTTTGAAAGCTGTGGGAGGGAGAGAGGGGGGTGTCCGACGGGGGAGGTGGGTGATTTCTGGGGGAAATGTGTGAGTACAAAGACGTGCCACCTATCCACAGGCGCGGCTGCACCTGGAACTCCCGCACTCCGGAAGGCCTTCTCCTAGGGCAAGAAAGATGAGATGAGCCAGCTGCCCCCTGCTGTCTCCCAGAAGCACGTGTGTGTGTGTGTGTGTGTGTGTGTGTGTGTGTGCGCCCCCGCCCCCCCCGTCCACAGGCCTGGGAGCCAGGACTGGCTGACCTAACCGCCCGCGGCACCCCAGGACCAGGCCTCGGAAGGATGCCAAGAGCTGGGAGCTGGTCACCCACCAGTGGCCCGTGTCCACAAGGCCTGTGGCAGCGGGTGGGAAGTCCACTGTTGCCGCCAGCTCCCGTCCTGCGAGGTCCTCCCCCAGGCCTTCCCGGGCCGATGCACTCAGAAGCAGGCACGCCTGGCCACCAGGGCCCACTCCTGGCCCTGTCTGCCTACTCGGGCTCACACTCGCGCTCCCTCCCCGGCCCTCTGCATGGCCTTGCGTGGAGCGGCTTTCTGCTCAGGAAGTGTAGGTGCCAGAGGCCCAGATGAGGCTGCCTGGCCTCCTGCACGTGCAGGGTCTCTGGAGAGACTGCCCGCTGCTCTGGACAGGCCCTCGGGGGCGATGGGCAGCTCAGGCTTGGGGAGGCCTGGCCAGAGCCCCTCTCCCATGGGCATGCTCTGCGCACCAGCCATGGGCAAGGCCAAGCCCGGAGCTCCTGCGCTCCTCCTGCGTGGGGCTGGCTGAGCTCACTGACCTCACTCAGACTCTGACAGCAACCCCCAGGGTCTCGGCAGCTCAGCAGCTTGGCAAAGCCCCGGGAGAGCCCTCCACTCATGGGTGTTTAACCCTCCCCCACCCGGAGGGCAGCGGTTCTCCCCCCAGGACGTGCCATGCCCCACAGGGAACCTCTGCCCTGGCCATGTCTGCACTGAGGGGCTGGGGTTGCTCCTGGCAACTGCACAACACCCTGGGTGGCCTCAGGACATCAGAACCCTGTCATCGATGTTTATCCCCAGTGCCGGCTGGGACACCCTGCTGGGGGAAGAACTTGGATTCTACCCACTTCGCGAGGAAGGAAACGGAGGCTCCGTGCAGGTAAGCGGTTCACAAAGTTGCCTGGCTACGCCCGCGGAGGCCTGGCTCATCCAACTGGGGGGGGGGAGCCCCTGGACTCTTCCCAGGAGAGAAGGGTTGCACTGCCCTCTTCCTCCACTCCGACCCCGAAACCTTCCCCAGCTCCGACTGCGTAAATACGATCCCCCCAGCTGGGCACTTGAGACCCCCGTGGTGGGGCCCAAGTGGGTTTTCCCAGCACCTGTGCCCCCAGGCCCGAGTTTCCAGGGTCACTGCAGAGCCCTCTACCTGGGAGACCCTCTCCCTCACCCTTCAAGGCCTACGTGGAAAATCCCGTCCCCTCCAGGACTGGCCAGACTCCCGCATCGCACTCCTCTCTGCCTGTTCTTCCAGGACACTTTGACCTCTTCCGGAGGCTTCGGAGCAGGCTGCCCCCCAAGCTGCCCCGTGGGCTGGCGGAACCTGCGGCACTCAGGCCCCACTGCCCCCTGGGTCCGCTGTCCCTCCTGCTGCTCTTCAGAGTCATGGAACCCCGTGGTGAAGTCTGGCTCTCCCACCTGCCGTGCACCACCTGGAAGGTGCCCTCCATTTGACCGTCCTGCGCCCTCTGAAGGCACTCACCTCCAGAGGCCCCTGGCCAGGGCAGGCAGTGGTTGCTGGCCCCCATCTGAGTCCTAGACTGGAGACCCTCTGCGTTGGGCATCCTTTCAACTCCAGGCAACGGCACATGCCCGAGGGCAGGGGCTCTGGCCCGGCGGGGGTGACACGGAGACCAAGGGGCAGCTGCCTTCCCCCATCATAACCTGCATGGTTCCTCTCCGTCTCCCACTGGGACGGAGGTGGAGCACTCCCCAAGGATCTCGGCCTCTTCTCTCCAGAGCACCCCGAGCTTGGACCCTGGGGGCTGCCATAGGGCGGCCTCTGTCTCCTTCCAGGAGTACCTGCATGGCTAACCCCACCGACAGGGCGGATTCTGACCCTAGACAGCGGGCCGACGGGCTGACAGCCTCAGTCTCTGGATGCAAACTCCAGCTAGCCTGGGATGGCCCGGCTCCGACTGGGGCACAGCCAAGGTTTTCCAAGTCTCAAGGTCCAGCGCCTCGGTGGAGCCTTACAACCGCACACGTCAGGCCCTCGAGGGGACCTCTCACTTTCACCCCACGGATGAAGACGGGGCTGGCTGTTCCAGTGAGCCGGAGCCAGGCCTCTGGCCTGAGAGTTGCTCCATCAGCCCCTCGCACTCACATGGCGGTCTCCCTGCCCTGTGACACGGCTACCCTGGTATCTGTCCTCCGGGAGGCCGCCCTCGGCACCTCCCGCATGTGGGGTCTCTGCCTGCCCTGGCTGTTACTCTGGTTCTTCTGATTCAGTGCCCCACCCTGGGACCCCGGGTCTGTGACGTCAGTCTCTGCATGTGTTTCTTCCCTGCAAAGCTGACCTGAGACTTCAGACCCTTAAGGAGGAGGTTCGGGATTCACCCCTCCAGGCTCTAGTGTGGTCCCCGGGCTGGGTCCTCTGATTACCAGCACTGGGGTCACCCGGGAACTCGGGAGAAGTGCACACTCCCAGGCCCACCAGATTGGAAGCTCTGGGGACGGCCCAGGGGGTGGTGAGGGCTGCAGGTGACGTTTGTGCCCACCAAGTCTGCAGACTTCTGCTCTAACAGGGGCAGTTCGAGCGCAGCCTGGCTGCGCTGCAGGGCCCGGCCTCTGGCTCTCAGGAGTGGGGTGGGCCCCTTGGAATGGGCACCCTGCTGGGCCCCCTCCTCCCCTCCTCAGCACGGCAGGCAGGGG